ACTCAACTGTCCCGGAAACCAGAAAAAGACGAGCGGTAGGTATGAACAGAATGAAAGCAGGGCAAAGTTTCTCATTCATCATGTAGAGACTAGAGCAGAGTTCAATGTTAAGTTCTGTTCCTAACAATCTTCAACAATCCAGGCAAGTCCACTGGCTAGCAACTGGAACCCTCTTGAAAGTAGTGGTGGGTTCGGTAAGGAGAAAAATGAAAACCAGGTAAGAAGATGTTTACTCAGCACTTTTTAAAGTGAAAATCTGGCTTTATTACATTTGCTTTCTTTTTCTAAATTTAAATGTTCAGAAAGTAATGCATTATTTTTGCGAACTACAAAATAAACAATTTCCCCTAGTTGAGCTTGCTTTCATTCAGATTTTATTTTTTAGTTGAATCCGACAGTTGAAGTACCATTGGCTGAGGGAAACAGCACAACACACAACTCGACTGTAAGTAGATACAGGAAAGAATCGTCCCAATTCTACCTGTCTGATCACACAAGAGTTTCTGAGATTAATGTTAAAAACTATTCCTAAATGAAATGACAACATTTCGAGGGATTATTGAGGATTATTATCCAGATATCAAAGTGGTCTATAATCATCTTTTAGACTTGAAAATTGGTCCATCCTAAGCCCCAAGTATTAGTGGGGCCTGTCTCCTTCTCTTCTAATGCTCCCTGACAGTGAGGGGGGCCAATGAGGGGGTTAATGAGAAGAGCCAATAACGGGGGCCAATGAGGGGGGCCTCTGCTTGCTGGAACAGTAATGGTTCTCTATATGCAGGGTTGGGTGCTTAAGTGGGCCTCCTGGCCCATTGGGCACCCTATGGGGAGCCAATGTTAGTATCCAATATCCAATGTATCTATATCAAACTATCTATTTCTGTATAGGGACTCTGCAGTTTTACATTAAGAGGAAAATCTATCTAATATGTCTTTTTTTTTTACAACTTGCTTTTAGACTTTCATCTTTCATTCTTAAAATGGATCTGTGAAACATCCCAGAATACATTATTCACAACGATAAACACAAATGTGCATGTCTCTGCACAAAGAGTTAGAAAGTGACTCCAAGAGGATGGTGGCATGACAGCCCGATTCCACAGATCCGGGTTGTGCTCACAGCCCAACACTGTCCAGGACATTTGGCATTTGCCAAAGAAGATCAGGACTGGCATATTCGCCACTGGTGCCCTGTGCTCTTCACAGATGAAAGCAGTTTCACACTGAGCACATGTGAAGAGCCTGGAGAGTGATCTGCTGCCTGCAACATCCTTCAGCATGACTGATATGGCAGTAGGTCAGTAATGATTAGGGATGGCATTTCTTTGGAGGTCCGCAAAGCCATTGACTGGCCGGACCTTTCCCCATACCTGAATCCGATTGAGCACATCTGCGACATCATGTCTCGATCCATCGACCAATGTCACGTTGCACCAAAGACTATCCAGGAGTTGGCAGATGCTTTAGTCCAGGTCTGAGAAGAGATCCCTCAGGTGACCATCCACCATCTCATCAGGTGCATGCCACAAGTTGTAGGGAGGTCATATGGGCACGTAGAGGCCACACAAAATCCTGATCCTCACTTTGACCTGTTTTAAGGACATGTCATCAAAGCTAGATCTGACTCTAGTGTGTTTTTCTATTGATAATCTTGTCAGATTTTATTTCAGTACATTCAACTTTGTACAGAACAAAGCATTCAATTAGAATATTTCATTAATTCTGATCTAGGATGTGTTATTTGAGTGTTCCCTTTATTTTTTTGAGCAGTTTATATTGAAATAGTCCCTTCTTAAATATAAATAACTGGTAGGCATTCTTACAGGCAAACCAATACAAACATGGAAAAGGGTTACAAAATACACAGATGTTTGTCATAAAGTGTTTGTTTCCTTTTATTTTAGGTGGCAGAAAAGATCATTCATCCCAATTCAAAGGTATATAAAACTTGAGTATTGTATATTGGTAATATAATCATCTGGGCTGTTATGGATGAGTTGCTCTGTTTTGTCCAATTTTAGGAGGAAGAGAAAGTTAAGGACAACAGTGCCTAAGTAGGTAGACTTGACCTTTATAAAGGAATGGCTAACATTATGTTGATATTTTTGGATATGTGAGTGAACAATATTTAAAGAACAACCATGGAGAGTTTGATCAATCGCAGGGCTTTAGATGAACCGTTTTCTCTAGATGGACCAAGAATTTCTGTTTAGGTGGACAAAAATCTCAGCAAGTTTTGTGTCTTATTGTTTATACTGACAATATTGACTTGTTAATTATGTTTTATTGTGAATTTCAGCTGAGTGAAGCACTTTATGCATCAACACTTTTAGATTCTTGTAGAATTTTGCTATGGTTGAAAAAAATGTTAACCAGATTGTTGAGTAATAACTTAATAAAATAATACTGTTCTATATCTTAAAAATAAATAGAGCAAACCTGTTATGGGGACACCAAGTTTTTGTGCACCTAAGAAAAAAACGGCCAGCAGTACAACTAGAGCATACAGTTCATCTAAAGGTCTCTAAGCTGAACCTAAGCTGGAATTATTTTGAAACACTGAATCCCATCTAGCTTTTTGGAAGGAAACATAAAAAAAAAACAAAAACAAAAAACCCATAAATTATAAAAAGTAAATAATAGATCTCTCAAGACTTTCTCCCACTTTGAGTGAGATAAATTTCTACATTTCTAATTAGCAAAGATCAGCTGTGGGATGTAGGGGCATAGCACCAATTTCTGGACTCTGAACACTTTCACTGTCAGCGGGCCTCTATTCATACCAGTGCATGAGGTCCTCGAGCAAAAGAAGGGGAAAAATGTTGTGGTTTTTTATAAAAAAAATTCTCCTTAAGTTATGTCATCAATATGTGTGAAATTAATTATGACATCAGTTAATTGTAAGGCTCAAATAATTTGAAATAAGGAAGGACATTCATGGGCCCTTCTTCATACTCAGGCCCTGGTTACTTAAATCCTCCCTCCTCTCCACTTCTACACTGATACTAAAACAGACATAAAGCAAAGAATTTAAATTTGTTTGGAGTGAAAGAAATAACTACTCAGTCAGTAATGTGATATCAGAGCAATATATCTGATATTTTTCTTGTGTTTAGGATCAGTCCTAAATTCATGGAAGCCCAAAGGACTAACGTAAGATTGTAGGTCAGAGAAATCCTGTTTGCCACATAAAACACATAGACAATGCAAGAAATCTGATTCCCATGTTAGAAAGTGTGTGTTAATGTTTGCCTTGGGTTAAAACCTGTTAGAAAATTCAGGGTTTGAAATAGCCTAGTAAACTAGCTCCACCCAGGCCTAGTCATTCGCTCGCACAACAAGGAAAATGGCAACAACTATTGAACAGTTCTCGTCTGACTCAACTTTGGAATCAGTTTTGGAAGGATTAGACTTGGCTGCCGGTTCCCACTGGTTACCTGGCTGCCCAGGTCCAGGCGGTTACCTAGTGCTGCCATTGTCTCTTTGGAAAGATAGGAGCCACATTGGGGAAGAGAGGGAAAAAAAAATATATTTCACACTTTATCCTTGACACGAAACAGTTTGAGATATGCCGGCAGCCCGATCAAAGCCCAAATTGCTGCCGAAATACTCTGTAATTGAAGATACATCAGGTACCCTCCAAATTTAAACAGGAGAAATCAAACATCTTCGATATCCTCCAGTGACAACGTTGTGAAACGCACCATCCTCCACGCTTTCCAGGAGTCTGCGCTATTTCCCACGAAGTATGTCCCAGCAGGACAGGATGGGTCCACTTTTCCCTGTCTTCCAGTTGAATAAGTTTGCCTCCTTCAAGAGTCAGAACAGAAGAAGTTCTGAAGAAGAAGAAGTCAGAACTCCTTCATAAACATTACTCTGTCTTGCTTTCATCAGTCCCGTCTCTATTCAAGCAAAAGGAGTGATTCTAGCAAACCAAGTCTCTGCTTGTGTAATATTTCATCTTTTGTGTAAGAAACCGGGAAAGGATTGTAATGAGCTCTATTAAATTATTTTCTTCTACAAAATTACTTAAAGGTATAGTGGAGGATTTTAGTAATTTTTAAAAAGACCTGCCCTTTCCACTTAAAAAAAAAATGCACATGCACAACCCTGTACCCACTCCCGAAAAGGAACGCCTATTAAAGGGCATGCACGAGCCCATTTCTCCTTGTGCACGCTCTGTGTAAAAGTTGCTGTTTGCATCACTCATACAAGCTTACTTTCCAAAAGAAGATTTGCAATTTTTCCGCTATGTCAGAATCACCACTGGTGAGTGGAAATGGGAACAAACACGTACATGTAGGACGGACTTATGTTAACATATCAGTAAAATGATACCTTTAGGAATTAAAGATAATTTTTGAAGGATTTCCCGCCTAAAATATTAGGTTATGACTCCATTAACCTCTTACACCCTAAGGGGGTATAAATAAATTTCTGCCTGTCAAAAACACACAAAAGTAAATAACTTATAGCCTCAAAGCTATTAGATTTAAGAAGAAACTTTTGGTACGTCTGTAAAGGTAAGATGTCATAGAATGGTTTTCTGGTGTCAGCACCATTGTAGCTTTGACCCTGCCTGAAATATTAGGGACAAAATACAAAATATTTTGCATTTTTTGAACCTCGCCAAAATTTTCTTTGAAATAAACATTGCAAAACACTACCAAAATATTAATTATAGCACAAAAAAGTAGTACAGACTTTCAAATCTAAATGTTGTGTAAAAATATACCAAATTTGGACTCAATCAGATGAATCATATTTATTTTAGAATGGTATTAGTGAGAAATTTCTTAGGCGGAGAGGCCAGTTTGGCACATTTATCCATAAATGTCACCAAACTGTGCCAAATATGTTTTTTACATCAATACTGGGGGTTTGGTAAAACTACGAGGTCACGTAGCAGCTGGACCCGCCGGTGGGTCCGTAGGGTTCAAGGGGTTAAAGTCTGACCTTTTTCAAAGAAAACCAAAAATAGATTAACAATGAAAATTAAATAATGAATGCCTCAAAACATTCACAAACTTTCTGAAAAGTAGATTTTTACGTCTATACAGGGCCAGAACCAGGTATGGGATGTTGTACAGTATATACTTACAGGATAACTGTAATGTTACAGGATACAAACTCAAATGTTAAGTGTTGTCTATTTCCATTTCAATTTCAGGCCATTGGATGCATATCCTAAAACAACCCATCCACAGGTAGGTGATTGCAAATAGCAAACTATTTCAGAATATGTGTATAGTTATCCCCAATAATTTTTAACTAGCAATGCAACATTCTATGCAAATAATGTCTTATGCGGAGACTGAAGGACAGTTGATTTTATATTTATGTAACTAACTGTTGTTACATAAACTTGTTACATAACTGACATAATCTAAAGGTATTTTCTTTGGATCCTCTAAAGGCCACTTAAACAGAAGTCCTGAGGAGCAGGTGAACAAACGTTTCCCCAGTTATATTTTTTTAGTTTAAAAAAGAAAAAAGCTATTTTAATCTGCATGTAAATTAACTGAGGAAAATTGCGTTTTTTTATTTTGCAGGAAAAGCAGGATTAATGAAAGATGCAGAGCTTCTGAAGAGAGTCTTTCTGAAGATGATACAGTTATTTGTAATTATTAAAAGAATAATTGAACAATATATTTGTTGAAAGATTTATTTGTGCATACACTAGAGATGTCCCGATCCAGGTTTTTGCACTTCCGATCCGATATTGTTTTTGGACTTCCGATCCGATACCGATACTGGCCGATACCAGCCTATCCGAGCATGTATTTAAGTTTAAGTTAAAGTATTTAGCCTTAGTTGTAAGACTCATGTTGAAAAGGGTTTTAGTACTCTTGATAACATCTAGCCAGCTAAATTAGGTGAGATTGAATAAAACACAATGCTTGGTAACAACAAACTTTCCTGTTTATTAAGAGATAAACACAAACTGGACAAAATTATGAATAGCAATCTGAAATTGCTCAGTGAACAGTAAAACCGTAAACAGTTAAAGGTGCAAGTATTACTGTAAGTTTTATTAAAAATGCAAAACAGGGAAACACTGGCGCAAAATAGTGGAATGGAGTGTTTCAATCGGCGAAACTGGAAAATACGGACCGGTTTTTTTTTTAAAAACTGGATCGGCAGTCTGGATCGGCATTTTACATGCTTTGCCGATACGCATTTTTTTGCCAATATCGGCGTCCCGATCCGATACGTGGATCGGATCGGGACAAGCCTAGCATACACATACTAAAAGGCATAATGCATGGATGGACAAAATGTCAAAATAACAATACAAAAACAAATAGAACTAATGCTTAACTTGCTTTACAGGATTTGGTAAAAATAATTTAATATGTCATTCAGTCAAAATGTTGGAAATAAAGGTGAACCTTTTTGAAAATATCTTATTTAGAAGTCATGAGAATTTGCAAACTGATCAGTTCTTGAAAAGAAAAATAGTCACCAATATCTGTATGCAAAAGTAAAATCCAAATGAAAATATTAAATCACATATACAGCATGTCCAATCGACTGTGATATAATCTTGATATAAGAGAAAACACAGGGGCAACAACTCATCTTTGTGGCAAGAACTAAAACCCTTGGGAAGCATTGTTGTCGTCACAATATCTGTGTACTTTCTTTTTTTATGGAAAATAGATATTCTGAAAAAAGAATTGTTGCCCGTGGAGTGGAGGTAGAGAGAGGAGTTGCATGTTCCACATCTAGCTGTGGTCTAGAGATTGTGCTCAACAGCCCCACCCAATGGTTAAATCTTATTTATGGCTTCTGTATATTGCATTTAACACACACATTTTGGAGTCAAAATAACCAATTTCCCATTATACCCATGTTAAAAGATGCCAAGACTTAAAAATAATTTTTTTGCTTGGAAGTTAATATAAGTATATGAATCCATTATCACGTGCTTTAAAATTCAGCACAGTGATTACTCTCTAGAGTCACTCATCTGCCATTAAGAATGAGCTGCTGATGGGTGTTTAAAACGATTTAAATGGTGAGAAAAGCTAGAGACAAACAAGCAAACAAACAAAAAGTATTCTCTCCTTCATTTCTTTGGCTGACAAGGCAAAATTAAAGTGTTTCTCAGAGGAACTTTCTCTATCAGGTAGACTACAGGGCGCTGATGTTCCAAAAATTATTTTAAAGGTCCTACATCATGCTGTTTATTTTAGATTGTTTTCATGTTCAACAAGAATCAAATACTTGCTGAAATAATACATTTAGCACTATGCACGTGTTCATATGTTATGAAATTCAGTTACTTTTTTTTAAAACCCTTAAAACATAAATTTGCCTTCAATGTAAAGCTGCTTCTCCCTGTCTTGATGATGTCCATTTCAGGACATCACAGCACTTCTGAAAGATGAACAAAGTTCAAGCAGTGGTGGTTGCTGTTCTCTGAAACATGGGAGGCTCAATGGGGTTAATTAAATCCAAACGTAAAGAAAAAAACAAACAAGATGTAAACGTTGCAATAATGCAGGGATTTAGTTACTATATGTGTACGATGGGTGAAAATAGCCGATGTGAAGTGCTCTAAAATAATAATAAACTCTAAAAACTATTGCAAAAGTTCAACACAAGACCACTGTTCTGACTGAATGATTGCTCTTTCCTTTCTTATCTGGAAAACCTCGTCTTTGACTAATCACTGTCAATCAAAAATCTTTTAGCATGTTCCACTAATCAGCATCAAGCAGCCAGCTTCACAACCTGCCTCTGCCCCATACAGTCCATATTAGTTGGAAGTCGTTACGTGTTATAAGGCCTTACTTTCTTGCTGGTTGCTTTAATAGCGAGCAACGGGGATTTCTTATAAAGTCCTGCTGCCAGGGGTGGATAATCTGCTGCTCCAGATCAAAGGAGAGATAATGTTCAAGAGATGATTAATGTACAACTTATATAGGTGCTTTACACTACATTCAGTCATTAATGCACACAATCATGGTGGCAAGTTACACTGTAGCAATGATGGGCACTCTGATCATCATCAGTACGCAAAGGACACAATGACACTGAAAGCCAGAGCCAGGGCTTGAACCATCAATCCTTCAATTTCAGGGCAATCTCCTACACCCAACGCCACTGTCGCCCCATGCAAACCTTTATGAATTTTAACAATCCATATTTGATCAATTATTTTACCAAATGTCCAGGGGATGTTTTTGTTCCCTAGTAGTCAATGAGAACTCACCACTGAGTTTGAAACCTTTAGGCCAAAAAAACAGATGTTCAGAAAAAAAGAGGTTTCTACCCCTTGTAAATCAGCTGCTAAATGTCTAAACTTAGAGCTGGACTCATCACGCTCTGTCTCAAATCCCCCACTCCCTAATCAGAGAAAGTGGGTGTTTGCTTACAGTGCACCTGAACTGCGCATTCCAGGTACGTTCTTCTTGGAGGAGGTGGGTATTGTCTGCTGTATGAAGCCCTGTCTTAACCAGTTCTGATGAGGCCAGGAGAACATGCAGAACTCATGAGGAATACTCAGATGCATTAATGAAAAAAAAAAACATTGATTAGTATTGATCACACAAGTACTGATCAAGTGTATTTAAACAGAGAACGATAGTCAAAATCAAGAGGAAGATGAACCACTGATCCATTCCTCGCTAACCAATAGGTTACATAAACTTTAAACAGGAGCACATAGAAGTAAAGTGTTTACATCAGCTTTTATATATATTCTGTTATTCATTTCTGGTGATATCGGACTGATTTCCAATTTTAATCCTGGATAGGACAACCCTATCTTCCTCCTGTAGTTGTGATGATATGCCAAGAATCAGGGACCTCTGGGACAGAGAGGGAAAATTCTGCTGTTGGATTACAACTGCTGAGCAAGCTGACAATTTACCAGGGTTGAAATTAAGTGGAACCTTAGAAAACTGAGAAGATATTTGAGTTTAACAAAGCCGTATTTCTGCCTAAAGTTAAATTTAAAGTTAATTTTGGGTCACAGAAGCCTTCATATTTAAAGCTTGAATCACAATGCCTAATTTTTTTCCTGCTTTGTATCAGAAATGATTTCTGAAAAACAAATATGTGTAAAAGAAAGCTCTGTGTTTTCACCTTTAAGCTTTCTCTTCCAGATTCTTTCATGAGAAGAGATTACTCAGGACAAACTCTTCAAATAACAATTTATAATGTATATGTATAAAAAATAAACGTGAGACCTGACAACAGATTTTGATAGAAATTGTAATCTTACTCAATTTAGAGAAGTTGCTTAGTATTACAGAAGGCACTTTTTCAACAAGTTAAAGAAGCATTTTATACAACTCCACCATGCCACATCATCACATTATTATAGCATACACGTTTTTAAATCAGAAGACATGTACAGATCCAGCCAAATCAAACTATTACACAGTGTCCTGGGTAAAAGCCTAGAGATCTTGCGGTTAAAAATGACCCACTCTGTCTGTGCCCCCATTTCATTTCCAAATCTGTATTATGTACATAATTAACATGATAAGTGTATATCCTGACAGAAGAACTTTCCTGAATGGCTAAACTGCTTGGGAAGACATCCGTTTTAACATGTAACAGGCAGGTATTATTAGGGTGTAACAGATTCCCACATCATCAATAAAAATAATCCTAACATCTGCTAGCCAGCTACACAAAGATTCCTCAGAGCAACGTTTACTGAAGAGCCTGCAGCTAAATCTCCCTCACAATGTTATACATCCAAATAGACCATCCTTTTTATCCCTCTCTGCTTAGACTTCACTTCAGATCTCCCTCGATAAATCCATGGCCTCATCATTAAGTTTGCTAGATATACAGTTTCTATTTGTTATAATATAGGCTGTTAGCCATAGCCTACTCTTAGCCATCTTCACACAGAACAAACAGCAGCATAAACACTGGAGGATCCCATGTAAAATACATATTTCAGAGCATCATCAAGAGAGACATTTGTTTAAGCTTGAATGCATTCAGTTTTGTGAGTTCTGTGCTACTTTAATGTTTTCTTTTTTCCTTTCAGAGGAATTGCATCGCTTCTCTAACTTAATATCCGGGTCTGTCCCCTGTTAAACAGTGCAAGGATTATTGAATCCCTTCTCCAAATAGCAGTAGCAGCTGCTGCTCTCTGAAACAGGGGAGGCTCAATGGCGTTGATAAAATCCAAATTTTACTTTTTGCATTAACAAATGTTGAAAAGCATTAAACACAATACTACAACAGATGGAAATAGCTGTTGTGAAAAGCGCTCCGAAATGATCAACTCCAGAAACCACGGCATGTGCTCAGCACAAGATGACTGTTCTGACTGAATCATCATTTTCCCTCTCGATTCATAAGGAAAGCCTCCTCACTGTCTGGCCACTGTAAAAATCCATAAGTATTTTTGTCAATCAGCATCGAGGATCCAGCTTCACCACCCCTGAACCATAGACCCCTAAGAGCCTCACTGTAAGTGATGTATTTTGGCATATTATCCAATCAGGGCTCTACTTTCATCCATCTTACCTCAAAAGACGGAGGCTTAAGCCTCAATAGGGATTTCACATAGAGACTGACAGGCAGCGTCCTGCTGCTCCAGACAGGAGGAGAGATAGCGTCAGAGAGCGGAAAAAAAACACTAATTAATGCTCCACATACTCAGCGGCATTAGA